TGGTTGGAGAATATAACACTAATATAATAGTGTCCTCCGGAAATATTCCCTGTTGTGCTCGACCCAATGTGATCACCCCGCGTCCATCCGAGCTTTGATCACAACTTCTTTTATATCCCGATGAGGATGCCCGCAACCAACCCATCCTAGGCCTAAGTCAGGCCCAGCCCAATAAAAAACTCCAACTATCGTCAGATCAGCGAAAACACAAGACGACATCGTCTGAGCATCCTTCTTGTCCGACAGGAAATTGCCGGTGCCAGCATCCCCGTAAGATTATGATACATCTTTTCGGGAAAGACAACAGATAAGAAAAGGTTTAAAAAAAAAAAAAAAGGGTTGAAACCCAACAACACAACAGTTTTCCTATAATCCAACCCCACAAGAATCTCTCTTAATTCTAATTCACACCACCAGATTCTTCGGAATCGTCGAACTCACCTTCGACAAAAGGGAAAAAAAAAAAAAAACAACGCTGCGACCATGAGTAGTAGAGGTCCAGGCCTCTTCTCCGACTTCGGCAAGAAAGCCAGCGGTAAACAAAGAAAAGAGAAAAAAAAAACAGTTAAAGCGGTTGGAATTCACTTTTTTTTTTTTGGCTCTGAATTAATGGAAGTTGAAAATTTTGCAGATGTACTGACTAAGGACTATAGTACTGAGCAGAAATTCTCCCTCTCTTCCGAGAGTGACGCGGGAGTGGTATGCACCGCAATATTATTATTATTTTGATGTTTTGAACCGATATATTCTACTTCTATTTAATTTTGATGGGCATTGATTTTTTTTTTTTTTTTTTTTTGTCTTTAAATTATGGATACTAGTATTGATTGATAAAGATGGAAAAGTTTGAGAGGACTGGGAAGTTAAGAAGGTCACAGAATAATATGGATAGTAGTAATTTGGAGGGGGTGGGGGTGGGGGTGGGGAATTGCATTTTGGGCTTTTTTTATTAATTAAAATGTCAGCTTCAATACGTTACTTTTACTTCTATGGCTGATTTTGAAGTAGAAACTTTGTGATGTGCAATTAGCTAGTCTGTGGAAAGTGGAAACTTTGTTTTTGTGATGTGCACTTAGCTGGTTGGCAACAGATTTTGGTGAAATGGAAACTAGTTTCGATTTTGGAGGATTATTCTACTTATATATGATAAGAAAATTGGTAGCAAAATGTATGGTCTGACTCAGTTTAGATTGTTCCACCATTGTTCATTCTTTCTTGCTTTGAGCTGTTCTGCTGAAATATTGATGTTGTTCCTCTATTTCCAAGTTCATTCTTTTTACCTTGAGGCAAGGTAAAGGGTGGTTTTTTTTTTTTTTTTTTCCCTTTCTTATTTAGAGTTTAGCGAGTGTTTTGTTCATCATCAGTCCAGTGTGAACCAAGTTCTACATGTATGGTCATTGAAGTGATATCATTGAAGTTTCACAATGCCCTGGTACTGGGGTCATATTACTGTTTTCTTGTGGATTAACTGCTACCCTTCAGAAGTCTCATACAGTAACCTATTAAAGTCTATCACCCTATATGAATATCCATCTAGTCCTCAAATTGTCGTGCGATTTTATTTTACATATATCAGAGAGGTTTCAAATGGTAACTCTGTCTTGTTTTCAATAATTTGGCCACACTTCTTCCTGAATAGCCCAAATTTGTTGCTTGCTTGAACTTTTTATTTTAAATTTCCTGTGTCAGATTGCAAATACTTATCCAACATTTACTCATTGCTGTTCTGTTGTGTTGCCAGGCCATTGCGTCCTCTTTAGCTAAGAAGGGTGGATTTTCTGCTGGTGTTGTTGCTGCACAATACAAGTACAAGAAGTCTACAGTTGACGTCAAAGTTGACACAGAATCCAGTGTACATGTTCTTTTTGTAGTTGCTTTTTCCTTCCCCTATGCCTCTATACTTATTGAATTACTGATCTCATGATGTTACTTTGGCAGATTGCAACAAGCATAACCGTGACTGACATCTTACCATCTATGAAGACTATTGCCACGTGTAGATTTCCCGATTACAATTCTGGCAAGGTTGTGCTCTGATTGGACACTCCTGGTCCTGGCTATTGCAACTTGGTGCAAGTTTTGTGTACACAGTTTTTTCCCTTTTTCTTCTGCAATTAAGTCGTTCCATTCTAATTTGCAGATAGGGGTTCAATATTTCCATGAGCATGCAAGTTTCACTACAGCTGTTGATCTGAACAAGTCTCCAAATGTTGATATTTCCGCAACCATTGGTACTCCTTTCATTGCTTTTGGTACAGAAGCAAGTTACAAGGTGGATTCGCGTTCGTTTACAACGTACAATGCTGGAGTCAGTCTGACAAAACCAAATTATGGTGCTTCTGTAATTTTGTAAGTTTTCCCCTTCTTGTGGACTCTTTTACAGAATCAAGAAGTAAAAGAGGATGGTTTCATAACAGACTAGCTTTGAGAATGAGAAACATATGTTTTGTATGGACTGTTGCAATCAGACCAGTTCTACCCTTCAATATGGGCATTTTTTTTAAAAAAAATATTAATATTTAGCATCTTTTTGGATGTTGTTAGGTTCTATGCTGCAGTAGTAAACAATAATGTGATCCAATTTTTTGTGAATTAATGGTGTTTTATTTTTTGGTAGGGCTGACAAAGGAGATGCAGTGAAGGCAACTTATTTTCACCAATGGGATCAGGAAAAGAGAGGCGTTGCTGTGGCAGAAATTGCAAGAAAGTTCTCTACGAATGTCAATATTTTGACAGTTGGAGCGTCATATGCAATTGATCCTCACACACTGGTCAAGGCAAAGCTGAACAACCGCGGCAACCTTGATACCTTGGTGCAGCATGAGTTGGCATCAAAATCTTTCCTGATATTATCTGGTTCCTTTGACACCTTAGCCATGGATAAGCAACCCCGGTTTGGTTTGGCACTATCTCTCAAGCCTTGAAAAGTCTGTAGTCTAGAACATATGGATGTGGTCTTCTTCCAAAAATGAAGAAGTTTTTTAGATTTGCTGATTCTTTTTGACTAGGTAATAGGGTATTCTTTATTCTTACTTCTTAATTACCTGGAGGCTATATGGACCATAGTCCTTGGAACATAAATTTTATCTACACTCAACTTTGATGTGGTTGCATCACATAAAGTGATCATCCATATTGCTTCTTGGAAAATGAGTCCATACAGTTGGCGGCCAAAGGTGTTAATTTTCTTCTCTGGACCAGAAGCTTAATCTTCATTTGGATGACTCGATGGTGAATTAAACTTTGGATTGGATTTTTTATTAGTTATCCGGAAAGTAGTTTAAAGCACCATTGCCTTCTCGAGAAGGGGAAGTGTTTTACATGTTGGCCATTACCAGACCATTAAACCACATGCTTGAAACATATTTCTATGGAAATTTGAGCTGGAAGACGTATGCCTATCAGCCAACAGATTATTGCGTAAGAGCAGTTATTAATAAGTCAATCTTCAATTATTTGGCTAGAAGAATTCGCCTTAGCAGAGTAGTTCAGTGATCACAATCACATATACTATGTATGCCATTGTTCAAGGAAATGTCACGATTCTGTATTAGGAGAAAATGTCACAATCGCATATACTATTACTATAGCAACTGCTTTTGTGCCTTTGCGGCCATGGACGTTGTATTGAAAACGACGTTTGACAGGGAATTTACTTAGATTACATGAAACAACAACTGATATCCAGGCGTTTATGGTTTGGTCGAGAAAAATAATTTTGAAAGACAAAAACTCTTTCCAGAAGAATGTGGCTTAGCAGCTTTCGTTGTAAAGGCAGCATTTTTCCACTAGGAAATTTCTTCAGTCCCGCTCACCTCATTTGACTTCATTTCAGAGCACGTTGAAAGGGCCTCAGGCCTGATTAAGGAGGGGAAGTCTAAAGAGGTTGATTAAGGGACTAATAGGTGTACAGACTCGACTAAATTAAATGAGTGCTCTAATATCAGTTTTGAATTTTTTTCACTACAGCCTGACCTACAGGCCGAAAGAGAGATTTAATCCCTTTTTAGTGGCCACTGAGTTAAAGCTCGGTAGTTGATCTCAGGTCTGTTAGACCGAGTCGGTTATGAATTTTCTGCTGTATACCATATGTTCTAAAAGTGGCTTGGAGGTTTCAACAAACTCTATCAGGTTTGTGAGAGTAGATAAAGTCTAGATGTTTATGCTTGATGGTGAGAGTTGAGAAAGCGTCTGAAAGTTTTGACTACTCAAATTAACGTTGTTGATGGAGTATGCAACGCCATCCAGACAACTATCGACTGCATATAAATTATGCGAAAGGAAGAAATCATACATGGCTAGGACATTTTCAATGACTTTAATGGGAAACTTAGAAGGATGAGAAAAAGATAAAAAATTATACAGCACCACTTGATCACATGAAGAGCTAAAAGTCAATTTTATTAGAAGAATAAAAAAAAAATGAAAAGTCAAGGTTCTCTTTCTTTCTCTTTTTTATTACGACTGAGTCTTAGGGATCAAAACTGAATTCAGACGTTTGTAGAAGTGTGCAAAATCGAAAAATTCCAATTTATCGCTTGAATTCGAATTGAATTCGGAATTTCGAATTTAATAATTTTGTAATTCAAAATGAAAATTGAAATTTCGATTTCGAATTGGTTGAATTCGGAATTGATCGAATTCGGTTTGATAACGAGATTTTTCAAATTTCTTGCAGGTTTGGACCTTAAAATTCTACTCAGATATGGAATTTCAAATTGCCCATCAACAAACAGCATTTTTATTCGTTTTGCTTATTCACAGACACTAACAGCCTTCTTGAAATATTACAGACGATAAAGTCGCTCGTGTGTTAGCTAAAAATGCAAAATTCATATGTGATGATATCTTTTGGAGGAAAAATCCTTCAGATTTTGTTGTGCCACTTCTAATGGCGGATTTATTAGAAGGTTAGTGAAATTCCAATAATGTTTTTATCCAAAAACAAAAAATTATAGACAAAAATTGTGTCCAACATCATCGATCAATACTCAGTGGTAGAAAATGCAAAAACAAGTAGTAGTATATTCATCCAGGATACAACCAAAGAAAGAAATAGAACTGTTGTAGAATTTCATAAAACATCGCAGAATAAAAATTGATCACTAGAATCTCTCTAACTTTAATATTCCAAAGCGGAATGATCATGCAAATGAGTATAGCTGTGGAACGAAGGAAAACCACTTGAAACCGCAGCTCCATTTCTCAGTTAACAGAGGGCATTTGGGAAGCCAGTGCCAGGTCTTCCTAGAAACCTTGTAATACAAAACCTCAGGCCAAGTGTAGCAGCAAACGCAGAGAAGTCCCTCGTGCCAAAAGCAATAAACATGCTCATACTTGTGGTAGCAAACTGATAGAAATTTTTTCACCATCATTTCCGGCAGCCTTTCGACTTCAGCCCAATTTTCTCCATCTCCGCTCAACTCCCATAACTTCAAACTCCTTGAAATCCCATCACTCCCAATCCCCCCAATCAGGTACAATTTCCTATCCCCATCACTGACTAACCTGGCAAAGGCAAGCTGATTTGGCAATTGAATCGGAGATCTCTCCCAGCTCCCAGTCTCCAGATCAAAGCATAAGATGTGGAAAGGCTCGGTGGTGATAAAGTACAATTTCCCTTCATGGAATACTCCCCCTTGATTGTTTAAAATCAGGTTGATCCCCTGGAACTGCTGCCAGAGGTGGATGCCAGAGTCGTAAACAAAAGCAGTATTTGATGATCCAGAAGAAGACATCATCAATAGCTTGTAACCAGTTGACGTAGAAACCAAAGTCAAGGACTCGAAGCTACAGGGAAATTTGGGGTACTTGACAACTCTTGAAGATCTTGACAAGAGGTTGCAGACTATAAAAGAGGAGGAGCTGGGATGAGAGAAGCAAAGGCGGCCATGGGAGACGGATAAAAGGGAACAGGACTGCGCAGGTGAGACCGTGGGAGAGTAGGAAAGAGGCAAATTGCGCCAAGCGTTCTGGACAGTATCATAGAGAGGACATTTGCAACTAAACTGATGGTGTGAAAGTAAGAGAAAAGAAGAGAAAGGTGAAGAAGAAGAAGTAGGAGAAGCAGGAGAGTGTTTAGAAATGAAGGAAGGAGAGAAAAGGAGGGACTTGAAGTGTTTGCAGGTTGATCTGAGGCTCAAGAACGTTTTCAATGGAAGAAATGAGAGGACCCGCTCCAGGATGTCTTCCGGCAACCTGCTCCATATCTCCGGATCCATTTCTTGCTCTATTCTATTTCTAACTCTAACTCAGGCTAGTAGTAGTTTTATTTGGGTGTGTGAATCCATTTCTTTTTCAAGACTGAGCTATTTTCCTTGCTCCTCTTTGACCTCCATCTCCATGGATTGTCGCTGGCTGGAGGTTTATGAAAAGCATGTGGCCATACCATACCCTCGATGTATGCATACCAGACCAATACATACAGCAACTGGGGTCCCCATTTTTAGCGGTCCAGTACCAGTAGGCTTTTTTTTTCTTTTTTTTTTTCCCGGCCCCCCCTTAAAAAAATTATTAATGTGTACATCGGGTTTCAAACTTTTTATTTTTTATTATTTTGGGTAGTCTCGAGTTTTGTAGTAGTTTAGTAGCTCTTAAAGAATTGTAGTAATATAGGAGTGGTTATTTAGGAAAGTAATATGAGAAGAAACCAAACTTTTTAAAAATTTAAGAGGGCAATACTAAGAGAGAATAAATAGTACCTCTTGAAATTGAGGGAAGACAATTAATTAACTTGTTCAGGAAAAACTTCAAAAGTTCGTAAAGCTTGCAAACTTGTTCAATCATTTTTGGCAAAACTGAGGGGGTCAGCGGCCCACTCTAATCTCTACAAGCCAGAAGAGTACGTTTTAAAATTGAGGGAAAACAATTGTAAGAAAAACTTATAAATGTTTGTAAAGCTTTCCAACTTGTTAAATAATTTTTGCATAATTGAGGGGGGCCCACTGTCACCTCTAAACTCTACTTGGCTCTGCCTGCCTGCCTGATCGTAGGAACTCCTGCGACCTTACACATTCACGTCTTAGAAAACAGGTTGCCAACTCTTTGCAACCTTACATTTAAACAAAAAAAAAAAAAAAAAAAAACTCTTGCGACCTTTCGGATTTTCTTTCACGTAGACTTCTTCGATGCCCATACACAAAATGCCAGTCACAAAGTAGGCAGCCCAGCTGGGCTCATTTAAAGGAGTCAACTTCTCTCTTTTTTGTGAAATCCCATTCTATTACAAGGAGAGGAGTCAACTTCCCTGCGGGTCTATAATAAACTGCAACTAGCATCCACCACCAACTGACCCGGAATCCATAAAGTAAAGAAAACTGCATCCATTTGTGATTCTCTAGTTGCATAAAACTTTCTGGCTTCTTAGATATACCTCAAAAGTATAGAAAACTAGAAAAGTCAAACTAACACCTGCTCTTTTTTTTTTTTTTTTTTTTTTTTTTGAAACAACTATCTCCTGCTCTAATACTATGTGTACAACTAAAAACCTCTAATATAATATTTTACAAAGAAACAGCTTGGCCTTCTATGTTATCTAGAAAATATATTGGCAAGCAACGCTACTGATGATTATTAAATCTTACAACACATGCAACTTTAGTGAAAGCTATTTAAAACCAATAGCAGATAATCATATAGCAAAGTTAGAAAATAAAATAAAAACTTCAAAACCATTTTGATTGTTCACTCTCAAGGCCGGCGGTCACATAAATGCTAGTCTCCAGGACGGCCACGCTATACGGCCATCCCCACAAGCGTTCCATCTACCACCTCGTCTCTATTTCAATATTTCTGCTGTTCTGGCCCAGCCAGCACCAAGACGTACTTGTATACCTACCTCCGTTGTCATTTATCTTTGGTAGCAACCACACGGCTGGATGCTGATTAGCTTGGAACATGTCAACCTGTCATAGAGATTCAATACCAAGATCTAGTCGGAACACAAACTAAAGGAGAAAAACAAGAAACAAACATGACAAATATGAAAGAGATTGATTTTCCATATAGTCAGAAACTTTTGCCAGATCCATTTGCATTTGGATCTTCGGAACAAGATAAAAGAAACAGAAAGTCTGTTGGTATAGAGGAGTTGATAGAATCCCATATTAAGTTTCTAAAGTACAATCATAAGAAAACGTCGACTCCAAGTACAAATGCAATAGCCTATCCACGAAGCTGAATAAGAAATAGAAAAATGATAAGACAAAACTCTACTTTGTATGGGACTATGTACTTATGGATCTGCTCTACATCCACAATTAGAACTAAAAGATGGGTAGTCTTTCAAACAACAAGGAAATTGGACAGCAGCACATATAGCATGAAATTCTCACAATTTTCTTCAGTATCAAAATTGGGTATGTGCAGGATACTAGATATATACACAGTTGAAAAGGGAGAAATGGGATTCCGAAAGCTAAATTACCTTGGCAGGATCAAATCTCAGTCACTCCAATTATCTTGATCAAGTGCAGCACCCTGCCCCTTCCTCCACTCATCCTACAATTGAACTCAAATGGTGTAAGGCCCTTGTGCCCATAAGGAAATCATAGCATGATTCGTGCACTTTAACTTAAATCAATAGATAAAATGTGGTGCAAATTAATGCAAAAAGCGTACCACTTCACCAGTGGTAAAATTAGAAGGAGACCAAACCAGAATCTGTCTATCATTACCACCAGTGTACAGTTCCTGACACAGGTAGAATGAGCTTTGTTAATTACCAGATTTAAGGTGCAAACCAAGACAAAATCCTCTAGATTAAATGAATAGCAACAGCCTCAAGATTTAACATCCTCAATCACTCATCTTTCTTTAAGGAAATACAATATCTAAACAACAGCTTAAATGAACATATTGATTAAATGCAACTCCAGTTGCATTTAAAATCTCTAAATTGAAAATATTACCAAGAATTCTCCAGACAGATTGAGGGCAGAACTTTCTTAAGATGCTAAATGACAAATGCCCAACAGAATAAAAGACAAAGCAACACTGCATCCATACACTTGTGCAAGCATACAGACGCATGCATGCACAAACACACAGAGAGAGAGAGAGAGACCTGATCCTGTGCACTATACCAACAACAGTTCACATTTTCATAATGGCCACGAAAATTCATCAACGTCTTGCCTGACCACATATCAAATGCCTATGCCGTTCAAGTGGAACACATGGTAAGAGATGGTTAAGTGTGTATTAGTACAAAATAAGATTTGACTTAAAGGAGAAAAACAATTACTTTTGCTGTTGTCATGCATGGAACAAAAACAAGTGCTGAATCTTGAGTTGTGGCCAACTGTAATGGCTTGCTTGTTTGCAGTCGCGTGATTTCAAAATTAACTAGCGTATTGCACCCAGATTCTATGTCCCATAACCTCAACCTAGAATCAGAACCTGCAACCAGGACCCAGAATGAGAACATTAAAGCAATTAACTTATGTTTTCTGGCATAAAATGCATCGATAAAGCATTACAACATCTCTGAACAAGTAGACACCACAGTATTCTATCCAAAGATAAGCCAAGGGCTTTGATTGCTCACATTAAATAAAGTGGATACACCTCCATCTTCTACGAATTGGGGAAATAAGCAATGTTACTCAAAATAATGACAAGAGTTCACTGGGACTTTATCGATCAGTTGACTCAAGGTTATCATAACTGCTGTCCCAATTATGATCCTAACTAATGTACAAAATGCACATAGAGAGAAAGGCAATGTCATGGCTCCTATATGGTAAAGGCAGCTACAGAGGGGTGGAGGCATTGAGAAGAATCAGATGCACATCTCAAGGAATTTTCACATCTGTTGACCTAAAGAGCTAAAACACTTGGACATCATTTCCAAATTCTGCAATTATAAGCACGAAATATATGACCCTTGTTTTCAGTACTAAGGAATTCTTGGGGCAATTGTCAGGTCCTTAAAGTGGTAACCAACAGGATGTCCAAATTTCAATTCAAGAAGTGTTTACAACACATGTGGAACAAAATGTTGAATAAAAAGCAAATTGAACCTGCACTTAGAAGGTACATCCCATCCCCAGTAGCTCTTAAACCAAAAACAGCACCATAATGAGCAGTAGCGCGATCCTGAGTGGACAACATTCCAGGATGCAACCTCTGCTTCACAGAACCCTTAAGTTGAGAGGAATGCTTATTAAGGCCACCATGTTTTGAAGAATTTCCATTATTAGTTTTCCTTTGAGGTGGCCGGGACTTTACTGATGAACTTGGATTGATGGATGAAGATTTAGACGTTATAACCTGAGAGAATACGGTGAACAATTTTTTCAGAGACAGGAATGCACCGTAACTGGAGGAAAACTGCAAACCTTGAACCCTAGGAATTGGCTATTCTTTAGCTGACCAGATATGATAGATAATTGCCTTTTTGACATCGTATGAAGATTATAAAGCAAAAAGAACTACCAAAAGGAAGATGACATGAATTTTCCTTACACAATGGGGCGTCTTTCTAATCAATAACAGAGAAAATCTTAATGCTCGTCTCTCCACCATATCTTAATAGACAACTGTTACAAGCAGGGATAATGTATGTTTCACTAAATTATCATTGCTGGAACATTTCCAGGGAAATCAGAAGGCAACATGCAAACGAAAATGTTCATTTGATCCTCCAGATTAGAATATTATAGGATGCTTTTGACACAGGATGGAAGAGAGATAGGGACCTTATTTGCAGTGGATCGAACCAGGAGGGGAGGGCGTCTCCCAAGCTGAGAGCGAGACTGGTCTAACACATGGAAGCATCCAGCTCGCCTGATGTCCCAGAAACGTATTGCACCATCACATCCCCCAGTTATCAAAATCCACTCACTTGAACTAGACCACTCCACTGACATTACACCATCTGCAATGGAAAAATATTTTGCATTAAGGGCCTTTAGATGCATAGCTGTACATTTGCTATATTTACAAACTAAAACAAAGGTAAAATCTGTAACTAAATGAATCAAAGGTTAAGGATGAAGAATTAAATAAAAATGTTGACCACGATTTTAGATGAATGCTCTTATCCTAGTCTAGTATGGAACAGGATCGAACAGGTGCAGTGTATTAAGGGGGTGAAACATGTTATATTAAAAGAGCAAACACGCATATTGGAACGTACATAATACCAATTTCTTGAAACAGAAGGAATCTACTTCACAGTCACAAAATTATTCACAGCATACCAGTTCCTTGTCAGATAGATTCTGGGTGATGTATTATTTTTTATGCTTTTAAAAAAATTGCTAGTCCTGGCTCAAATCCTTTCATGTGTTTCTGACAAGGTAACATCAGCTTAAATGCAAATCCAAGATAACATGGTCAAAGCATCACACCTCTAATTAAGCTAATTAATCCCAGCATCTAAGCTTAGGATCTAAACATCAATTCCTACTTCAACCAAATCAAGTCTAAGCATTACTTTGAGCCAAAAAAAAGGCTTTAGCCACCAATAAAAAGTTAGTACATTTTACAATAATAAACGTGTAAGATGACCAATAATATGGATTTGATCTCCATATTTCGCACATTAAACTAGAATAATCAGTTCCAGGTTCAATTCATACTAACCATGCTTACAAGCATTTGCCACAGGAAAGATATCCTATTATGATTAATGATTACTTGTTTCTGTCTTTTCTTTTCATTTTCCCTGATTTTGACAGGGAATATGATTTGGCACAGAGTTTGATCTGAACTAAATTTTTTTGAATCATGTTAAAAATGTAAGTAACTGGGAGGTCAATTCACACAAAACAAATGTGGTGGAATACAAAATACAATGGATGTTAAAGAAGAAACCAAAATGACAGCAAGCCTTAGATTCAGACATACCACGGTGTCCAGACAAAGTGTGAGCAAATGCCCCTGAAGCAATATCACAAAGGCGTACTTGAACATCTTCAGTCCCAGCAGCAATTAGCATATGTGAGGTTGCTAATGAAGACATAGCAGTCCTATAAACCTTTCCAGGCATTTTAAAGTCCATTACCACCTAGAAAATGAATGAACAGCTAAATTCAATTCTATTGGATATTATTAAATGGAAATTTACTGTAGCATGTAACCAAGAGGATAAAGCTAGTAGTATGTAGAGAAATGTGTACGCATATCAAACCAACAGTACCTGTGTGGTATTTGTA